TCTATTATTTGGTAAGTATTTGTTTTTTCTAGTAGTTTAGAATGTTCCCTGTTTCCAAGTAGGCCTAATGCCTTTTCATTATATCGACAAGAATATTTGAAACCACCGTGTTATATTTTGCTCCGTTTTTAGTTGGGTCTAAACAGCAAGCTAGCTAGCTTGCTAGATATGGTTAGCATTGAATACTGGATAGTAGAGATCATTAGATTATATTAAATTAGATGTCACGTTATTGTCATTGAACACAGTACACCGAAATTCAGTTTAAATTCAACCAAAAAATGCAAAGAGTAATTCAAGTGCACGAGGTAAAGCTAGCTAGCTGGATAACTGGTTTGTTAGCTAGCTTGCTAGATACGGTTAGCATTGAATACTGGATAATGGAGATCATTAGATTATATTACATTCGATTTAACGTTATTGTCATTGAACACAGTACACCGAAATTCAGTTTAAATTCAACCAAAAAATGCAAAGAGTAATTCAAGTGCACGAGGTAAAGCTAGCTAGCTGGATAACTGGTTTGTTAGCTAGCTTGCTAGATACGGTTAGCATTGAATACTGGATAATGGAGATCATTAGATTATATTACATTCGATTTAACGTTATTGTCATTGAACACAGTACACCGAAATTCAGTTTAAATTCAACCAAAAAATGCAAAGAGTAAGCGCCGCCATTTTCTATCATAAAGCTCAGCAGGTCTGTCCATCTCTCTCCTGGCCTTAGTGCAGGCAGAGGAGGACAGGCGGAGCCACTCGTTTCTGTAGGAGTTCAGTTGAGTTTAGTTTTTTACTGCCAAATATTTAATATAAATAATGAGATAATATATATATGTGAATCTTGTATGGGTTACCTCACTCACAAGCAGGCACCCAGAGTTGTGCAGAAACGTAGGCCTGCTTTATAAAACATGTCTACTAGACTCTTAATTTTAAAGTGTGATCTGTTATCATTTTTTTTTTGGGTTGTGCAATCTTAGGCAATTATGTGTTGTCTGTGAAAATTCAAATATATAAGCATTTTAATCACACCTCTAATATATTTATGTTGTCTTTTGCAGTTTGATCAGCATTAACAAGCATCTTGGGGCAACCTCTTATTTATGGTAAGTACACGGCTACTTTCACATTACTTGCATAAGCTGATCTGTGACATTGTCAGTTGTTCAGTGTCAATTGCTAATTCTCTTTTTTCTCTTTTTCAGGTTATGCATGTGGCAGTGCAAACACTGCAGTTTGGAACTAGCTAGCAGGTATTTGTTGTTAAAACATTTCCGGCAGACACATGCACATTTAAGGGGCAGTTGTCGCTATCCATGTCCATATACTGATTGCCCATGTTCGTTTGACACATGGAGTAAACTTTTAAATCACACATACAAAACTCATGCTAAACAGCTAACACCAAAGCCAGTAGAATTAACAAGTAACAATTGGTTGTATTGTGCTTGTTAATAATATTTTTAAGGTGAATGCGGAGTTTTTGAGGATCACAACATCACCACTTCAATCAAAGTTCATGTGGCAGCTGGACCACTTCTCAGACAAGCTCTTGAAGATCTTCAAGACCAAAGGAGGAGTGAAGGGGCACAAAATCAAGGAAGCCCTTGCAATATCAGATTCGGTTAGTATAAATGCAGAGAACCTCGTTTTTCACTGTATTGTTTTTGTCCATGATCATATGAACACATTTAAGAAATTGTCTGCTTTTATAGTGTTTTTAAGGCAATAGCTTATTGTGGAAATGTAGGTGTAAGGAGTCCTGCTTAGGGACACACACGACAGATACAGCCCTCTACGTTGTAAACTACCTGCTCTGTTGCACATGCATTGTGCTTAATTGTCTTTGATTTATCGCCCCTGCTTTAGTTTGAAAACATCCACATCAAGAGGGGGTGCATCCTGCGAAGCATCGCGATCTACCTCAACGAGGATCCAGACTCTTTTTTTAAGGAGTATCAGGTATGTTTATCACAATATGTTTTCAATGTATTGGTTAACAGTGTTACCCACAATTATAACCACCATTACTTACATTTATAATAAGAAAATTATATGGCACACAACCCTATCCCTGCTTACATCTAAATATCTTATCACATATCATAAATACATGCAGAAATAAATAAATCTATACATTAATATAGGAATGAATATATGTAAGAATGAATAAATACAGAAATAAAAAAATAATAATAAATAGATACAGAAGTAATTTCATCGGGCAAGTGTTAAAATAAATATAGAAAAAAGTGAATTAATACATTTATACAGATATAAATACATCTATAAATTAACATAGGAATACAATTGATAAATACAAATGTGAATTAAAACATGAATATATCTGGAAATAAATACAAATAATAAATGAATGCTGAAATAAATATTTACATTTATATATAAATACATCTATAAATGAATAAATAAATATGGACATGAATACATATGTAAGAACTTATAAATAATTGAATAAATACATAAATAAAATAATAAATAAATGCTGAAATATATTAATCAATAGATTCATGTTTAAAAAGGTATGTGAATGCAGCAATTACTAAATTGTTAAAGGAATAATTACATAATCACATAAATCAAGGAAATAAATTATTAAAGAATAAATAATCAAATACATATCGAAATAAGTAGGTAAATGCATAATTAACTACAGGAATAACAACAAATTACATTATTAAGTAGGGACGTAAACAAATAATACCTGAATTAATAAATAAGATAACGTTGATAATCAAACAGAACATACAGGAATATATCTTTATAACTTATTTATGCAAACATTTTCTTTCAAGCTTAATTTAGTTCTGTGTTGGAGGTCCTAACCTTCTCTGGTATCACTCGGACATTTTTGTCCAAATTGGTAATTTTTCACATCAGATTTGGCTATAATGATTTTGTGTTTTTTCTAGATACTTTTTGGAATTTCAATTTTTCTAATCGGTCTCGAATACACTGTGTACAAATTACCCTAATTGTCCATTTAAAAAATGTTCCCACACTTCCCAAAAAGTGTGGGGGAAAAATATTTAAATATAATATTTGTATCATATCATTTTATCATTCAAGTTTTTGAAAGTGGACATTTTTATCCTGAGTGGCCAAATAGGGTAGTACATTTGAGTGATACCAGAGGGTTAGTCTAAAACTGTTTTGATCAATTAGGAGAGCCACATAAGTAAATCTGCTTCTATAAAATGTAGTAATTCAGGTTTTAGTTAACACATATGTTGTATGTTTGTGTCTTTGTTCAGGCCTCTGCCTCTGAAGATGCCAAGAGGGACATGGCAAACACAGTCATGGGCATATACACACTTCAAAGAGATGTGGATGGGCAGCCAGAGGACGTGGGAATTGTCATCGAAGGCAATATAGTCATGGACAACTTGGGCAGCGTGATTGTGGGGTTTGTCATGCTATTGGGACTTATTTATGCCCTGGATTTGAGCTTTCCGGACAACCTCAAACACACCTTCGAGTTCATGCAGAAGGTAGTGATGAATCTGGATGGGCACAAGCTGAATGGTAAAATCGAAAGTCTGAAGATCAAGTTGTTCGATTGAAATGTGAAAAAGAAGTGACTCATGAGTTCATTGTTGTCATTTTATTCACGAGTTTCCTAATCAGAGCAGATTGAGCCGTTATATCAATCATTTGTTCTGTGCTTTTCTGTATTTGTTTCAACACACTGTAACACTATTTCCATATGTTGGTGTTTGCAGTGCACTCTTTATGTTATGTGTTATTGTCCTGTTAGAAGAGCAGTGCATACCCCTGTTATATTGTATTCATTGTATTTGGCAAAGGGAGATTTGTAAGTTAATTATAGGAGTTCCATTTCTCTGCCATTTTAAAAATGGTATTATCTTTCAGAAATGTTTTTCATCTTTCAGTGTGAATTCATTCATTTTAAAAAGACTGTATTGAATGGAGGATTGTTTTGAATAATGTGAATTTAAAAATAAAAAAAACTAAACCATGTTTTCTATCATGTGTAACACATTTTTATTAAATTATATTTAACCTCATTATTTCATTTTCAATTAATTAAATAGGATTTAGGTGGACTAGCATTATCTAAATTCATAAAGGTAATGTTATCATTTTACTTAAACTCTATTTGAAAAATTTGAGTTGGACTAACTCATTTACATTATACTGCATGGATGCCATTAGTTTGAGTTTGTGCCACATATATTTATTGGATGGAAAACCTGCCAACAATAAAATTGAGTTAATCCAATGAGTTATTTCTTTGAGTGCATGCGCATATACCGGATTTGTATAGTAGGCCTACAGTTGTGAGGTAATATCCAGAACTGAAAGTATTTACTATTGAGACGCATGTCTACCATAGCCCATGGGCTTCATCAGCAAATTGAACATAGGCTTAGTTTTACACTGCAGTAGCCTATATTAGTCTTAACAATTAACTTTGAATCTAATTCAAACTTATTTTCCTGATCTGATTTGAATAGTTATTTTAGTTTTATTATGTATGTTATATAGCAGGATCTCATGTGCTGTTAAAGAGAGTAGCCTATACTGGGAGGATTGTTCAATATTTTCGCAAAAAAAATGCCATAAACAAATATGTTATATACCAGACAAACAGCAGCCTTCAATACAACACACACAGTAAACCAGCTTTCCTCTGTTTAGTGTGGAATATAGTATAGAATCAATTATTTCGAATTACTTTTACAATTTGGATTAGTTGCACACTTTTAGCGGTCACATTTTGAAGCTTTCAGCATTTTCTAATGTAAATAATGATCAATTAAAGAAAACTTTGTTTTGATTTTGTTTGTTTCTCTATCCCTTTTTTACTATGTGTCGCTCTTGGTTCATCAGAATAAAAACACACTCCCATGTACTGTACTTATACTCAATATGAAAATACTTGTACTACCGTGACAATGAGTATTTTCACTTGGCTTATCTTAAGAATGCAAACAAAAACATGTAACACCATAAGAATAACATGATTGTTTTCCTTTAAAAAAAACATGAGAAGTCCTAAAACAAGAATAAAATCAGACGGTTCAACAATTACATTAAAGTTTACAATAATACACAATATTACACAGACCTGGGCCTTTGCATGTCTTAAAAGTGCCAAATACACGGTGGAAAATAGTTGTAATACTCATCTAATAAGTTTGAAGTACACAAAAGACATTGGTTTACAGAAGTATGTATTCTGATACTCATAACCAGAAAGCAACCAGCTTCTCTCCTGCATGATCAGTTTGACTATCATCCCTCAAGTATTACTGTGATTTACTTTGACTAGTTCAATTCTGATTTCTGAGAAGAATACAACAAAGAGAAAAAGGGTTAGCATTAACAAAATATCAAATTTGACAGTATTTTCTTTTGCTTTTACATGTTAAAATAATTTGGGAATCACAGAAGAGCTTTTCATTTCTCAGTACATGCACAACATTTTCTAGATATACCCATAATTCTGAAAATCATAATAATGTAATCTTTTTACATGGTTTATAACCCCATATTTCTGGTTCTATATTTTTATTGTATTCCAGCTAATTCAAGATGTAAGAAATCCGTTTTTGGGAGAAACTGGTGAAACAGCAGAATCATTGTAGTACCTCTAACAGAAACATAATACTTTTTGTATGTACAGTCTGATAATGGAAAGCGGCCTGGTTTGAACGAAGGTGGTAAGCTGCTTAAACAATGTTTTAATCAGAAAACCCTATTGTCTCATTTGGAGTAACACTGTATTATTTGGATTAATACTATGTGTTGGTGCAAACCCTCTTATACAAATTATTAGAAATGCCTGCTGCTGCTAGAGCATACAACGTGAAATACACACTGTCCTTACATACTAGTCAATCAGATGTGCATGTACTCAGTTTGTATTAGTCAACTCTGTCAGTGCTTTAGTTTTTCTCTAAAGTAAAAGAAACCAAGCTGCTATGATGCAATTAAATGTATTGTGTTGTCTGATATGTACACCCTGTTGGAAGGGAGTTGAGCCTCTGATATGAGTGTTTGCTTGGGCGTTGTTGTTCTCTTCCTTCATGTTTGGCACTTAATCCATGTCTTCTGTGTCTTCTCATGTTCCTCCCTCATATTTCCTCCTCAGGGTCAGAGCTGTGGTTGCTCATCTGTGACAAACAGGCAGACAAAGACGGGACAGTGAGAGACAAAACAAAGGGACGTTTCATTGTACTGCAATCTCACAATGGCCAAGTATTCTTTAATGGAGCAAGCATTAATTGATTTCACCACAGCAGAGCCTCATGAGTAGATTAATCTCCTCACAGCTCTTTGACATTGTTAATGGGAAAGCTTAAAATAATGTAATAATAATTAATTTAAAATTAATATCTGGTCTCAAGATCTTTTTCAATTTCAGTGGGAACCTGAGTTGTTGTGTATTATTGTCCTAAATAAAAAAAAGAATGTAGCAAAATATGAACCCACAGACATTCTGCCTAAAACAAAGTCACCAAAAGTGCAGCTCCACTTTGACCGTTGTCATGAATATCGCCAGTAACCAATTATATCTATATTTCATATACGTACATATTTATCTATTCTAATGGTTTTTTAATGGTTTTTTAAAATAGGTTTTGTTTTAGTTTTTATAATGTATCTTCTTTAACTGTGTTTATGCACCATATACACCAATGCAAAATACATATTCGTATGTGTAAACCTAGCTGGCAATAAACTAGTTTCTGATTCTGAGTAACTAACATCATGCTGTAAAGCACTAGGGAAGGAACCAGTGCACACAGCCTTCAGGTGCATTTACCGTGTGGTGGTCATCATCGAGATCCCTCTGGTCGGGTTTCTCTCGGTGGATTCGATGACGAGAGCTGGGTGGAGAGAGGGAGGAGAGGGAGTGCTCGGGGCTGCTGGCAGACAGAGCGTAAGGTGAGCCAGCTGGACTGTCCTCTCTCAGGGGAGACCCTAACACACAGGAATAAACACACACATGGAGTTCAGGTGTTGAGCTCTTTAGAGGATAAAGAAAATACATGTGTTCTGTGGGTCAAATACAAAAACCTGCGCACATCCCACTGACTTTGTACGAGATGACAGGCAGAATCTAATAGAGGGAGTGACAAGAGGAAGGACAAACAAGGAGATACCAGGAGAGAAGTGAGAGACAGCAGAGCTAGATAGTGACAGACAGGGGAATCAAGTCGAGCCGGTGATAAATTAATAGGCTATGAAGATGAGAGCTATCACACGCCCAAGGTCATTCAAAGTAGGAAGAACACACATACTTCCCTGAAGGTCTGCACCGTCAGTTAAATTAGCCCCAGGACACATTCTCATTTTAGTTCACTATGTTTATTTATTCAGCCTGATGTTATGATAATGACTCAAGGTTATGGTTCTTTTTTTGTACAAGAGCATGCAGCAGTGATTGTGGATATAGTGCTCAGTTGAGGGTGGACTACAAATTAAAAGCTTTGCTTTAGTTTACGAGCAGTTTAATTAAGATTCTCGCTAAACCAATTTTCTTAGGAAGGATAATAAAGCTCTGCCTTGTTCCTTCCTTCCCTGGGTTGTTAGTCTTTTTGGCAGGTGCGGAAACTGTATTGGCTTCTAATGTCCACATGAGGACAGCAGAAGCTCTTTTCATGCACACTGAGCTGCTGTTGTTCCAATTCATGATATGTGTCTGTTTTCTGAAGCTTCACCAGTTCCTTCCACCACACTGTTTGTCCAGCATATTCGAGAATTCGCTCACAGCATTAAACCAGACAACGCACTCCAGTTCCTATCAGCCTTTATTCCGTTTTTCTTTTTAAATACCTGACGGGAGTAAAAAGAATTGATTTGTCAGGTAAAAAAGGAGTGGCTCTGGTGGTGCAGTGCATTCCTTATTCCCCAGTTTCCCCTGCGGCACAGATCCTAAATCATTTTGATTGGGGTTGTGACTGTTGGAGATAATCAAGCACAAATCTAAAAGTAGCCTATTGCCTGAGTCCGCCTTAAAATGTTTTTGATGTGTGAATAGATTATCTATCATTCGATCTCCCACCTACCTGCCTCCACTGTCTTTGTGAATGAGTGTCTCACCTTTGTGGTCATTCCTCTGTGTGTCCATCCTGTCAAGACTGTCAAGCAGCCCATCGATCTGTGTCTTTATCAGAGTCAGCTCCTTTTTAATCACCTGCAACTCCTCCATGCCCACTGCAGGGATGAAGAGAGGGAAAACGTAAAGGACATTAAGAAATTACACAAGCAGAACATCTCTCAGGGAGACCTTTAAAGTTAGACATATTGGGTTATGGGGCATAATATATTAAAAATGTGGCATGTGGCATTATTTAGATGTTATGAACTAGTAGGGCAGCATGAGCATACTTAACTATCCCATTTCTAAGGATCATATTTAGATGTCATAAAAGGGGTTTGATTACAATAATTGTTCTACACTGCGACGTTTCTCTCATCAGGAACATCACAGAAAGGTTTTTTAAAAACCGTTGACTGAACTTCAATACTCAGTGTGTGCTCTAAGTACTACACACAGCATACTTTGCCTGCAATTGCTTTATACTTGAGGGATGGGTATACAAAAGTATTAATCTGAGGTTGACGTTTAATTCTTCATACAGACAGGCATTCTACTGACTAGAGTTTTAGAGAAACATTGTAAATCTGCAGCTTCTAGTGCAACCTTTTTCGTGACTTGTTCCATTCATATTACTCACACTTGGATGTGGTTGAATTAGAGGATTGGGCTCTGGAGCTTTTGGAGTGGGTTCTGTCTCGACTGCGTCTGTGCCCAGAGGAGTGGGAGGAGGAGCGCGATCGCTTGGCCAGACTGGGTCCCAGGGGCAGAGGAGACAAGGAGGCGGGCACACGCTGGTAGTCATACGCCCTAAAAATGTGGGAGATACAATTTTAAAACATTAAAACAAGAATTCCTTCAAATCAGTTGCGGAGAAAAGTAATGTTTTGGTATCATTAGTACAAATCAGTAATTGCATTGGGCCTAATGTTGAAATATCTTAAACCCAGCCGTGGCTCAAATAAGTTGGTGATACAAGTTTGAAAAAAAATTGTCCAAAAGGGAAACATCTTCAGTGAAGAAAAGCATATGTTGAAGCAGTTCATAGATAAATATGGATATTTATATTTTATGGTCCTTTGTCTTTCTATTTGGGTTTCTGTCTCTCCTGCGCTCGTGTAGCCTCCTCCCTGCGGACAGCTCCATGTCTCTATCTGTCACTGAATGTAATGGGTTCTGTCAGGGCCAATCAATAGCTCTCCGCCAGGCTCGTAGTGCTGGTGACAGGGGGTGTAACACAGCCAAACTCTATAGTGCTTAAAGAACCCACACTGTGTCTGTATTTGTGTGTATGTGTGTGTCTATGTGTGTGTGTTACTATTAGAATAGATGTGAATTTGTGATTGAAGCAGAAAGTGATTTGACCTCACATTGAACCCAACAGCAGGGCTAAGGGCTACCAGAGCTAAGGGCTACCACAACCACCAATGCAGGAGGTGTGGGAACTAGGCCAATCAAATCTATGAAAGACTAATGTGTCTAACTAATTGTAGCCCTTAGAAAGAAATGGTACATCCCATTGTTTTTTAAAATAACACAAAGGGATACACAGGGTTTCTGTTGGTTCACCAAAAATAAATATGTTACTTTTTAAACTTTAAAAGAGGGCCTGTTATGCAAATTCTCAGGTTTCCTAATTGTAATTTGCGCTTTTACTGTGACATGTCTCCATGCTTTAATGTTCAAAAAGCTCTTTATTTTTCTCATACTGCCTGTGTTGCAGCACCTCTTTTCACCCTCTGTCTGAAACCAGAGCCCAGTCTGCTCTGATTGGTTAGCTGGCCGGCTCTGTTGTGATTGGTCAGCCACTTAGAGATGTCCCTCCCCTGAGCCTATCACGTACAACAGTGACCATCAACTGGATGCCCACGGGCCACATCCAGCCCGCCAGACATTCTCATCCGGCCCGCATGACGGGTGTGACTGTGGCGTTAGTGCGTTCACCCCCCACTCATTTTTTTTTTACAACGTCGCGTGAGTAATGTGCAGTGCCGGAGTCCAACAGAGAGGCAGCAGCTGCGGGACAGTAGACTGCGTACTGCGTAGCTTTCCCTGCCCTGAAGAAGAAGTGTTCCTTCGTTGTGAAGAGTCTGCTTTATGCGCTCCGCAGCAGTAGCCCCGCTGCGACAGAGTCCAACAGAGAGGCAGGAGCTGCGGGACAGTAGCCTCGAAGTGATCCTTCGTTAGCGTATTTGACGTTGTTGTCCCCCCGGACAACAATGTCAACATTCTGGGCTATATAAAAATCGCTGGCCCGCGAAAGTGTGTATTGGATAAATGTTGGCCCTTGGACAAATGTAGTTGGTGATCCCTGACGTACAATGTGTTGGAGCGCTAGCCAATAGAAGCACACATGTCACATAGTGATGTCACTATGTTACGGAAGTAAACAAAGGAGTACAATGGAGGTGTTTCAGGCAGGGGGGTGAGGGGGGGAGTATGTGGACGAGAAACTCACAGGGATTTAGGCATTTTCAGAACATTTACATGTACAGACACATATGAAAGGGAACCCCCCCCCCCCCAAAAGAGTAATAGGGCCACTACAAGACACTCTAATACTACATAGATTAACATGTATTTTTCCTTCTGCTTTTGTTCAAAGAATGACATACGGACAATAGGGCATTATATTTTCAATTAAACATTACTTCATTGACATTTAAATAATGTATTTAACTATCTATGACAATAATTCCTAGAAATAATAATTAATTATATAACTTAGGTCTAGATAAGTGGAAGAAAACTGAAGGATGGATAAACCAATTTAATAATTAATTAATTAACTTTTTGATAAAACTTGCATTACCCATTATGAGACAATGAGCCTCCTCGCTACTGAAGCTGCAGAAGCGACAGTTTTTGCTTTGGGTCTCATAGTTCTGGCTGAATCTCCACAAAAAATGATTGAACAGCTATAACCATGGACAACATATCCCGACAGGATTCAGCCACATACAAACAAATATATATCTAATGTGAGTGTCTACTGCAGGAATACAAATATATAAGTAACATTTCAAGACAATGGCAACATCGTGGACTTTTTATGGGGGAATTGAATCGAGTGCTTTCCAGATCTGCAGATAACAACAGTTTGAATATTCTCTCAATCTAGTCACAATCTGTATAAATCTGGATGGAGGACAGTCTGAGCACAGCCCAAATGGTTTCTGCGCAGCCATGAGAGAACAGTTCTCCTGCTGTAATACGTCAGCCGCCAACAACAGGGAGGCAAGCTGTCAGCTCCAAGGACTTGGAGTCGGACAGTAATGTGGATTTACTGATAGAGCTGTTAGCCAGTCTGAAGCAGCCCGACTTCCTGAAAAGTTTGCCATATTGTTTTCTGTTTGGTTATTTTTCTCTAAAGCCTCTTTACTTGATACTGTGTACTTTGCACATCCACAAGACACATAGTCATACGCATCACAATGTCACATAAGGATGAAGTATATTAGGCCCTTCTTAAGTGTGAGATAAGAGGATTTGAGCATTGTCCATGTGGGGAGACACAGAGACCAAAGACTTAGGGGAGTTTAAAGTCTTTTAGAGCTGTTTGCGGGGGCAGATAGACAATGTGTTGTTACACCGGCTTTGAAGTGTCATCTCAGAGAATGGAAGCTCAGACATGGAGAGACTGTAGACGAGTGAGGATTACAGAAAAGTGTGTGAGTGTGTGTGAGAAGAGAGTGTTTGTCTCTATGGATTAGACCCCACACGGAAAGCAGTTTTGTCAGCTGGGGCTGTTATCTGTGTGTTGAAAGACACTTTTCTATCTTGTTCGCACAAGAGGACAGTAGAAAAAAAAAAAAGATTAATTTCTCCTTTTCCCACGTACTGTTATTCCACAAAACAACAAGCACGGAAACAAAAAGACACACTCACAACCACACATAATCCCCACACACTCACACCCAGAGGCAAACACATGTGCGCACACACAGAAAATATACACACATACCCAAATATATCCCCCCCCACACACACACACACACACACACACACATACACACACATACACAGCTGTCAGTTGTGCTAGCCAGCAGCATGGGGCATAATCATGCACTGTGTTAAAAACAAATTGAAAATCAGTAGTGAGTGTACCCCCCTGAGCAAAGTAAAAAAAATGCAGAGTAAGGCATACCGAATGCAAAAAAAGATGACAGATACTGGGAGTAACAGAGCATCAATACGTGCGCAAAGGCACTGGAACAAGGTGTATATTCTATTGTGTGAATTTGTGTGTGTGTGTGTGTGTGTCTGTTATGTGACTACTTGCTTTTATTCAGATATGCTGAGTGGATTGTTTATGATTGAGACCTGGGGGATTTGGTAAAGGTCCCTGCGCAATTTCAGTGCAGGTCCAATAATACAGAACCATTCTCAGTCCAACTAAATACCTCATCTACCTAACCATTGCACTTGATGGTACACTGCACAACAGTGTGTTCTGCAGTTAAAAAAAGTAAACACAAGCTGTAATCTAACATGGTTTATAATCAGTACTGTGTTTTTAAGGCTTATTATGTAACCCTTATACATGTATATGATTTATTGTTAAGCCGTTGTGGGCACTAAAGTAATGCAGATTCACTGAAAACGACCACCAATCTGTGACATTTCCACAACATACAACATCATTGTTTGGCAGTTAACATTTTTTTATTTAGCCAGCTTTAAATGCCTGCATTTAAGTTACAATACTATATAGCCAACCAACAATTAAGTGTTTTTGCTTTGTAAGTCTTTCAGTGAAGGTTTTCTTTTTTTTATTATGCCCTCAATTTGGGTGAAATAAAGAGCATTTGTCTTTGCTTTAGACAGAGACTGAGATGAATAAGTCTTCTGTTAGTTTGGGTTGACCGAGTGCACAAAAGACAAATACAGTCAAATGCATACTGATAAATATCTGTATGTAGCAATATTGTCTTACCTTAGTGATTAGCTTTCATTTCTATAAAGGCATACAAGTGGGAATAATAATAATTCCTTACATTTATTATAGCGCTTTTCCAGATGCTCAAAGCGCTTTACAAATACACATTACACATATACAAGTGGGAAGTGATCTTTTGTATTGATATACAACGCATACTGTTCAGTATGTCAATATAGTACTTTGGTCATTCAGAGCTTTCCCACTATATATTCTTTTTGTATTGCCTTTTAAATTCAAGCAAACCATTTTTACTTTAAATGGATGCAACCAAAGCAAATGATTTGAGTCTGTAACACAAGTTTGGATGCTCAAATGGACATTGAACCGTCTGGGTGTCTTCAAAGAAAGTGTGCATTTGCCTGTTCTGTGTGTGACATGCAGTGCGTGCATGGCTGTTGAGTGGTAACAGGCAACATTGTGAGTAAAGACAGGATGATTGACAGCTGTGTGGCCGAAAACGACAGGCAGAGGAGACTGTTAGAGACACCAAGGATGAAGAATCCACTTGAGCCTCCTTCTTGAGCGTCCTGTGACATGCAGACAAGCATGTGAAGGTGTGTGAGCTGCCACTCGTGTACCTGTCATAGTAGTCCTCGTGATAGCTGTCATAGTCCAGGTCGAACTCAGATCTGCAGGGGAGATAGAGACAGAGACAGAGATGGAGAAGGGGTGGTTGGTAAAGTATTCGTAAAAAACTACAAGATGCTCTTTCACTGGGGCGATAACACATTTCACTTAACAAACAGTAAGCTTGTTTGTTGTGTCAGGGTGTAAATGTGCGTGAGCCTCAACAGAGTAATATGGTACAATCACTTCATCTGGAAAGAATGCAGTGTTCATGAGCTCCAGCCAGCTAGAAAAAGATATTGGATTTGTTTTGCTGCAGCATCCAAGGTGGAAAATCCATAGAAATTGGCTTCTGTGCCAACTGTACCACTCACCGAACATCTCTATGTGTAAGCTTGGGTAGGCAAGCAGTGAGGTAGGTGAGTGATGTGACAGGAGAGAATTTATATGGGCGAGTAGTCAGTGTGTACCGGCAATACATACCTGAGGAAGTGGAGGACAGAAAAGTGACACTAAGCCGCAGCGAGATCACATTCTGGTGTGACAGACGCCAGCATTCCTCTCTGGTTGGCACACAGAGTCGCTAATAATCCCTCCATGTTTCTCACCATCCGTCTGTCTCTCTCTGACTCACTCCCTTCAATCTGTCTTTGTCATTCTTTCATTTATCGGTTCTGCTTTCCATTTTGTTTGAACTCGCTTCATCAACTACTCTCTAATCAGTATTTCTTTACTTGCAAGGCTACTTGAAGTAATATAGGATGTTGTTACTTACACATTCAGCAGGTATGAAGCAACAGCACGTCATAAAAGTCTTGGAAATTAAATATTGTAATCGACCAGATATGATCATGCCGATAAGCTGAGACGTCATTCAAGGATACATTATTCACTTTTGTTTGTGTACCCATTGTAATTTATGTCTGCAACCTCTTGTAAGCTATTGAGATAGCAGTTGGCATATATAGTATGATTCCAACACAGAATTGATGTTCTCTTTAGTGTTTATTGGCACTGGGAAGTGGTGATCAGGAACATTTGACATATTGGATGCCAACAAAAATACAAAATCATGCATCCATAGTTTTATATTCAAATCAGTGACATGCCCATGTTCACAAAATATAGGCCATTTGTATGTGGATTTTGGAGGACACTTAAACATATTTTGGAAGACTAAAACCCCCACAATCCTTGCCATCTGCTGATCACCCAAGGTGGCAGTGGTTCTCCTGGTTACAGAAGAACTTCTGGTTGCTTTGTTTTTACGTCAGGGAAAACAGCAGTGGACTAGTCTGAAAACTCCACATTCAGAATCACACACGTACAGTTAAACATCATCGGACTGTATGAAGCTGTGTGCTGTGTGTGGGTCTCTGGATTACATTACATGTCACTTGTTAGACGCTTTTATCCAAAGCGACTTACATACTCAATACCGTGGGCTATCCCCACAGGAGCAATTTGGGGTGAAGGGACACAACGACATGCTGACTGCAGTGGGGTTTGAACCTGTGACCCCCTGATCCAAACACCAACGCACAACCCACTGCACCACACGTCTCCTTATTTTGGATCTGAAGTGTAGACTTATTCTTTGGACTGTACTCGCGTCTCGTCAGCGTTACTCTCACAGACTCTTCTCTGTCTCATACCAGCTGGTTTTCAGAACTCAGAAGACAGGAAACCACAACATTATTCTGTTGAATCTAATGTTAAGACTGTCCTCTAGTAATCAATTCAAAATGTACATGCTGTTTTAGAGTTCTGCTTTCCAAGTGATTTCAGCCAGAAGAAATCCTCACTGGGGGGGAGATGTTGTTCACTCCTATTGATGATCTCACGTTGGCTCTAATTTTGTCAAAATATAATTTGTTAAATAATTACGCTTATTTTATACTTTATACTTTAACCTTTTTGTTCTTGTCACTTGCACAGGCCCAAAACATTTCCATGAAGACAAAAACTCTGCCGTTTCAAAAGCAATGCACATAAAAAATCATTAATGTGCCAAAAACACATGCAAAGAAAGTGTAGCGTGTTTCTCTTAATGGAAATGTGTTGTAGCGTGTTTGCGCCTGTCGGCCACCGTACTTATCTCTATCTCACTTAAAAACATATTTGAACAAATAATTAAAAAGTCAATGTAAACAGTATAGATCATATATGTCATATGATTAAGTGAAGCTAAATGGACAGGTTAGCCCAATCCATACCGACCTTAATTACATCCAGAGAGAGAGAGAGAGAGAGAGAGAGAGAGAGAGAGAGAGAGAGAGAGAGAAGAGAGAGAGAGAGAGAGAGAGAGAGAGAGAGAGAGAGAGAGAGAGAGAGAGAGAGAGAGAGAGAGAGAGGGGGGCAGATGGACAGCAGGGTCACTAAAGGCTAATTAATATCTTTTCATAATTTCTCAAGTGCCAAGGCAATCCATTAGACATGGCTGGCTATAAATCATCTCAGCCTCGGCATGCCTGTCCCTGTGTGTGTGTGTGTGTGTGTGTGTGTGTGTGTGTGTGTGTGTGTGTGTGTGTGTGTGTGTGTGTGTGTGTGTGTGTGTGTGTGTGTGTGTGTGTGTGTGTGTGTGTGTGTGTGTGTGTGTGTGTGTGTGTGTGTGTGTGTGTATTAGCAAAAGAACAGATGCAGTTAGTGAACAAAGCATCCTATAGATTTCCTCAAACATGCATACCCGCCGTTGGGCAGAAAACCGTCAGTTTCACTGCAGTTTAATCTATTGGAGAACCTCGAGAGAGTGTGTGTGTGTGTGTGTGTGTGTGTGTGTGTGTGTGTGTGTGGTGTGTGTGTGTGTGTGTGTGTGTGTGTGTGTGTGTGTGTGTGTGTGATGAATTATTAGAGATGTAGTTCACTTGGCTTAGAGCCTTGACAGATGCAATTTAAATCCCGCTAACAATGAATCAAAGTGACATTTTTTGTGAGATTCTTGTTTTCTCGATTGTGGTGACATCTTGCGTGATACACATTCACTGCCATAGTCTTTTGTCCTTCACTTCTTTTACGATACATTTACAACATTGTCAACAGTTCTTTGTGAAGTCATCAGACTGGACAGATACCTTTTTTAAAGATAATACAATATATATAAATGTAGGTAAAAAATTAAACCAGAATATTGCCGCTGTCTGAAAGTAACCGCATCTTTAGTTATTCAAAATCTAGAAAAAACACAAACAATCTTTTGTCACTGACAATAAGGTTTCCTCAACACAATAAGATCATTATGTATGTAACACAGAGATAGATAAGGTTTAATGTTAGTTTAAAAACATCTGATGCAGAGCAACATCTACATCAATATTTATTTTATCTTTTAATATCTTTATGGTAAATGTAAAATTCCCAGACCCTTTTTTCTGTTGCAGTAACTAAGCAAATACATTTGTTTTACCGAGGCGCAGTTAAGTTCCTCAACAGTCAGGATCAAACCGTTTAGGGACGCCTCCCAGCATGCATTGTAAAAAAGGATTAAGTAAGGCTCATGTTATGTGTCAGCCTCCATTTTTAATAGTGTTAATGTGCTCCTCATTGTGTTCCAGAGCCATTGTTTTGACATTTCACCTGTTGTTACACAATTAGACATATGAGCAAATGCAGTAAGATTAGAGTCCTGTTGTGCCCTGACATTTTCCATGTGAATACAAAGATGGGTTTATTGCTGCATGGTGTGCCTGTTGCTAACAATAAGGCTGCAAATAAATATGCCGCTAAGTTCTTCGAACCCCAGCTCATCGTAATGCTGTCTAAATACTAAAAGCATCTGTTCTCTCTGATTTCCATTGTGTTTCTGTCCTGTTAACTGTGAACAACAACTGTAAATAAGATAAGATCTTGTCGACAACACGCTTATTTCCCTTTTGCTATTTGTCTTAAATCCTGTTTGAGAAATTCACATATATTAACAAACTTCTTCAGTCATGTTTTTTCCTGTTCAGAAATCATTATAGGATGAGACATATTCCCTCCTTTAATGAGAGGAAAATTAATCCATGCTTTTGTGTTTTCACGCTTGGATTTCTGTAATTCTCTATGCTGGCTTCAGCCGAGGAGCTGCAGCTCGCCTTCAGCTCATTCAAAATGCTGCAGCTCATCTTTTAACCTTCCGGTATCATTCGATTGGACTACGCAAATTAGTCATTCGAGACAAAAATGTCCACTGCAAAATGCTTTGATAAAAACATTATATTAAAAGGTTTTTTTCACAACTTTTTTGTGTTTAATCTTTAAAGCAACTTCTGCCCTAATAGAAAATACCAAAAATGTAATAATTTTCAGGATTTTAACCCTTTAAATGCCATTTTGAATACATGAAACCGCTGTTTTTTTTCATGATGAAAACAGAGAAAATTAGTTATTTTCCAAAAAATACATATCTGGGGACTGGCTCTTTTTTTTTATAACAGTCTTGGATATGTCAAAGATTAGCAACAAAATTGATTTTTTTGCATTATTAGTTTTTGCACAAAATCAGATTGAACAAAAAAGTTACAAATTAGTCATTCGGGACAAAAATGTCCACTTCCAAAAACTGCTCTAAAATGACAACAGATTAATATTTTTTTTAACTTTTTGGGGTTAAATCTTTCAATCAACTTCAGTCCTGATCAAAAATACCAAATGTTAACTTATGTTCAGGATTTTAACCCTTGAACTGCCAGTTTGAAAACATGAATTTGCGTTTTCTATGAAAAACATGCACAAAAAGGCAGTTATTTTCCATATAATGAATGTTGGGGGGGGGTCGGCTTTTCTTTTTTTTTAACACAGTCTTGGATATGTCAAAGATTAGCAACAACATTGATTTTGATTGATTATTTGTTTTTGCACAGAATCAGATTAAACAAAAAAGTCACACATTAGCCACTCGTGGACAAAAATGTCCCATCCACTCCCATTATAACCACATCTTTTGATCTCTCCGCCATACCGGTATAAAATCATGCATTTTGTAATGTCAGGGTTTTATATTGGAGGAAAATAGTTCAATTTGTCCTTTTTACTGTATATCACCAGATGTGACATTTTACCATTGAATTACATGCTTGTCATT